TTTTCAAGTATATCCATAAAAAGCCCTCTGCCAACTGCGAGAACCACTGCTCCGAGAATGTCCCCTTTCCGAAGCATGTTTTCTAATGAGTGAAAAACGGGCCCAACTCCCGCAGCGTCTGATGGTTAAGCTTCTTCCACTGTGGTCCTAGCTCAGTGGTCGGCAAACTCATTAGTCAACAGAGCCAAACATCAACAGTACAACGATTGAAATTTCCTTTGAGAGCCAGATTTTTTAAACTTAAACTATATAGGTAGGTACATTGTTATTAATTTAATTAGGGTACTCCTAAGCTGGCCCTTGCTAAAAACGTCCTCAATCTGATTGAGGTACGTTTGCTGAGGTCGACCCCTTCCAACTCTCCCATCCACACTCGTTTGTGAAAGGGCGAGGACTGCGCCCTCCATCTTGCCCGTATCCTCTATGTTGGGGCAGCCACCATGTGCTAAGGAGGGTACCTCCTTCCCGGAAGCCCCGGCCTCTGCTGGCCACGCCCCGGATTTCTTTAAACTAACCAATGACAATCAAGGGACATGCGAGCCATAGGATGACCACATCCTGTGTAACAAGACCCGCCTTGCGCCTGGCCAATCAGCAGGGCCCACAGTCAGCTCCCCTCCCCTTGCTCCACCCCCCTATACAACTCCTCCTCCCATCAGGCTTCCCTCTCTCGGCCACTGGGCTTACCGTTGCATCAGTGAGTGTGGTTGGGGAGCTGAACTAGTTCAAAATGAAGGACTCTTTGCTTTTGCATCGGACTGGCTGGCTCCCTGGTGGGCTCTTGGGAATCTTGAAATCTGGGCACAACAGTCTGTATACTTGTTTCATCCATCTCCTTTCATTCATCCTCTCTGTATGTCCAAACCATCTCAACATACCTTTCTTCATCCCCAACACTACATCTTCTATCACTCCACAACGTTCCCTAAAATTAACTTAACAAACTTTAAAGTTTTAAGTCAACTTTTGCACTGTACATGCACCCGCATGTGCTATTTTGTGCAAGAGCCACACTCAAGGGGCCAAAGAGCCGCATGTGGCTCGCGAGCCGCGGTTTGCCGACCACTGCCCTCGCTGGTTTGGCTCAGTGGCTAGAGCATCGGCCTGTGGACCAAAGGGTCCCGGTTCGGTGCTGGTCAAGGGCTCTACCTTGGTTGCAGGCTCTCCCGCTGCCCCTGCCCCAGCGCAGGGCCCCATGCAGGAAGCAGCCAAGGACGTGTTCCTGTCTCTCCCTCTCTCGGCCACGCTGCCTAACCATCACTGGGAAAATACCGCCGGTGAGGATGAACAGCAACCAAAACCCAGAAGATTTATTCACTGTGAGGCGACAAGAAGAACTGGGCAAAACTGATGCGCACTTTGCAGCATAATCCGCTGCTGGACGCGCTGCTCTGCAGAGCAAGACGGAAACACGAGGACGAAGCCCCGACGCAGGCCCTGTGCGCCCGTCCACAGTCAGAGTCGCGTCCACAGACTTCACTTCCTGGCGCAGCGCAATTCGGGGAGAGTGTCATCGCCCGCAGGGCACCCAGCACGGAAAACACACACACACTGTGCGGCCATCGGCCGTTTACCCCCTCCTGCACCACCGAGGCGGCCC